TTTTCCATCTTTTGCTGAAGAAGGCAACAGTAGTGGCCGAAACGTCCGATAACCATATTTTTAGCCAGTGACAACCATTTAATTCCTTTCCTTTTTTTATCAATTTTTAACATGCCTGGCTACACACCGAACATTTTTATTTTCATTTGCCTAACAAAAACTAAATTCTTTTGGGAAAGAAAAGTTCTCATACTCGATCGACATGACTTGCGAACATTTGATTTCTGATTAGCAACTAGTACTAGCGCTGGCTCACCTTTAGTTCTATTTTCATTTTTGTTTGCTTGTTTGTTGGTTTGTTTTTCACTGACAATTTGTGCTCATTCTCAACAGGGCCCGGCACTTTATGCCTACAACAACGCGCTCTTTACTGCAGCGGACTGGAAAGGTATCCGTCTGGTTTGTGACAGTATTAAGGTGGAAGATCCCATGAAAGTTGGTCGGTTTGGTTTAGGTTTCAAGTCTGTGTTTCACATGACAGGTATGCCCAGCAAGTGCACTTCTTGCAGTACAGCATCCTAGCACTAAACGAAAAAGTGCACGAACTTTAATCAACAAGGCTGCTTTCTGATACCATTCTCCTGATAAACGTGTTCCGCACCCTTCTCTGGTTATTATTATTATTTTTTTAAATCAGCCCATCAAATCGTCGTCTTTTACAACATGCATAGTTGGCAGAAGCTGTAATAGCGTGCTGAAATGCTGTGAAATCGCTCTGTGAAAGACGACTAAAGATGGATTGAGTTGACAAATTTATGCATGAGTGGAGGCCTTGGATAGAAGTAATCATTCCTTGAATCATTTGGTTTGTTTGGGACATTATCTTCTTGCAGATTTACCAAGCTTGCTCAGCGAATACCAAGTTGGCTTCATTGATCCTCATGGCGTCCACTTTTCTGACGAGGACTACAAGCGAACCGGGAAGCGCTGGCGACTCCGAGAGGACTCCGCCGACATTGAAAGAATCCCTGATCAGTTCAGTCCCTACAAAGGCATATTTGACTGCAACGATGAGGTATTTTCCCAGGGACGTTACAATGGGACCCTGTTTCGTTTCCCATTGAGGAGTTCACCATCCAAGCTGTCAGACACACTTTACACTGCTGAAAAGGTTGAAACTTTATTTGAAAGTTTCAAGGCCGATGCTCACTTAATGCTTGTCTTCCTGCAACATTTGGAGTCCATTGAGTTATATGTCAAAGGAGAGAATGAATGCAACCACAGAAGAGTCTTTCAAGTAAAGATTGTCGACGAAAGTCTCCAAACGGTGCGAACAAAAAGGGAAGAATTTCGCTCGAAGATTACGCCCGGAAAAGTTGCGTCTGACTCCGTTACGGTGACGTACCCAATCACCATAGAGACAGTAGACTTCGATTTGCCCTCCGCGGACAACGCGAAGAAACATTCGTTTCTTGTCACAAACTACTTCTGTGGGGGACAAGTTTCTTCAACTTTCAAGAAGCTCATGACCGACAAAGCTCTCAGCTACCTCCCCATGGTTGGCGTCGCCATGGCGTTGCCAACAGGTCCAAGATTGCAGACGCCAGACATCAAGGGTCACGTGTTTTGCTTCCTTCCACTACCAGTTCAAAAAGCGAGTTTGACAGGCTTACCAGTGCATGTGAATGGCTTCTTCGCTTTGAATCAAAACAGGCGTTACATCAAGTCTCCAAATGCGGATCAAGAGGAGCTCGAGAAAGGAGGCCGACAGCTAACTGACAGGTCATTACTGTGGAATAAGTGCCTGCTAGAAGAAGCCATTCCTAGAGCGTATGCCACGATGATATTGGAAGCCATAAAAGAGAAGGCAGTTTTCGTGCCGAAGGTTGCTATTTACAAGTAGGTACTGAAGCATCTATAATTGCAGCTCTTAGTAGAGGTCGCGCAGTAACCATTATTAATATAATTTAATAGCTGCGAATAGCTACGAGTAGTAGAACGTATTCTTGCATTCCTTCCATTGTATTATCCTACCAGATGTATAAGTGGGAGAAGGGGCTGATCCTTCCTCCCATGCCCCCGTTTTCATTCCTTTTGGCTTTTTAAGGTGTTTTTCTGCAGTTGCTATATCAGTAGCTTATTTGGTGGGTTTGGCATGCCCACTCTTAAAAGTTCCTTTCGAAGTTTATCCATAGACTTACCTTTACGCTGTTATGTATACTAACTCCACTTTTTTGCATTGCTCTACGGGGAAATACTCGTAAAAAATCCTCCAAATGTCAGTTTCATTGTTTGCTTTTATCTTCTCCAAAATATTAGGTTCAATTAGGTTTATTAAACTGGGCTGAGCGCCGTGGGACTTAACGCTATTCGATGTGTTTGTCGAGTAAGAAGGAGCACATGTTTTTCACTGAGTCATAAGATTTAATGTACTTAAACGTTTCTGTACCGGTGTAATATTAGTGGAAGTTAGGTTTAATGCACGTAGTGTAGATATGGTTGTCTGCATCAAATAAATTAAAAAAAGATTTAATTGCAGCATTTTACATTTCAGAGCATGGCCAGACATTCAGAGCATAAACCAGAAGTGGAAGAGTTTTGAAAAACCTTTCTTTCAATTTCTTCTTGACGAAGACGTTGTGCACACAGACGCAAATGGTGGCAGCTGGGAGAAGGTAAAAGAGGCCATATTCCAGAAACAGTCAGGCGACCACTGGAATGATTTGCTTCTGAGAGTCTTGCTTTCAGTTGGTTTACCAGCTGTTACTGTTCCACGTCATGTTCATAGTGCTTTGGACAAGTACGCCTTGGATAAAACCGAAATAGAACCTCGTCTGATCAGATATGTCTTACGAAAAGTGCCTTCTTCTTATGTGAATCTTGAAAGACAAGAAAAGCTGCTACTTCTTCAATTTTCCCTCACTGATCGCCATTTTTCAGACCTCGAGGGTTTACAGCTGTTGCCTCTCAGTAATGGTCAATTTGCCAAATTTGAAGCTCGGGCCAACACGGTATACATCGCCTCCTCAGAGCATCCTCAAGAGCTTTTTGCTGCCCTAGATGATCGATTTCTGGATAAAAGTGTCCACGAAGACATCGTTGGCATCCTTAAAGAAGCCGTTTCTCAAGGTACTCTCTTGACGTAAAATTCATAAGTATGATCACTGTGGCATATAGCCGGCAATAACACATTGTTTGCTATTGAAAAGGCCGGTTAGATATATCTGTTCAGCAAATAGAATTGGAAAAATAGGTTCTTTATAACTGGTCAAAGTAAAGGAAAACATTTTACTACAGTTAAGTGTACGCCCACAAGTTTTGCTTCCAACTCGTTAATTTGTCCGCCAATTCATAACCAATGTTTCATCAAAACTTAGAAAAGTTACTTCCACCATTGCCTATCTCATTATAGCATCATCTCTCACAGTCGTAGTTTTCGGTAAACGCCAGGAGGGTTTTTGTGCGTTTCTGTCGTCGAGGAATTCAAAACGCCACAAATACCCCGTGAAAGCGATGCAGTACTGGTTTTCATTTTAAAGTCTATTCGACAGGATCTCGTCCATAGAATGACAGTTTGGCGTTGAGAACATCTAACCTCGGTGTAACAATAGCAAAAACGCTCTGTCATTTGAGAACTTTTGAATACCGTTTGTGAAAGATTAAGATAGCGAAATTATTCGCGATGTTAATAGCGCCACCCCAGCTCCGCAACGATGCTATTTAAAGGAACTCAGTCACGGTATTTTGAGTTATTTTGGCCACGTACAAAATATCCTTTATTAATGGTAGGAAACCTGAAAATAACAGTTTAATATATTGAAAAACACCAAAGACATAACGATAAACCATAAAGGAACAAGGATGAATAAGGATGGAGAAGATTAACACGGATTACAAACGACGAATTTGAAAAATTGAGGCTCAGCTTTTTAATATGCGCAAACCGTGACTGAGCTTCTTTAAGGCGAGGGTAATCTTACACAATTAAGAAACGCAGTTAATGAAAAGGTAACCGGCCAGGCCTTTCTGTGTTTTAAAAATGTTATCTGATATTCACAGTTTACTCGTAAGACCAACGCTTTTCCGAGGACAGATTTACAATATCTCCTCTGTTTCATCATTTCAGGGAAAACGCAACTGCGACTGCTTAGTAGAAATCACGTGCCTTCCCTGCTTTGGGAGTCACTGCCCTTCGGTTGGAACACTGTTCACTCGGTATCGTGGTTCCCAGGGGACAAGAACCATAACCACCCGCCGAAACACTGGATTCAGATTGTTTGGCGATACCTGGGAAAACACTTCACCTCTTCAAAAGCTCTTCAGAGTCTTGAAGGCCTACCGCTGATTCCGCTTAACAGTTCTCAGACACCTGTAATCTTGACGCAGCTTTCTCATCCTTCCAGAGTGGTAGTCAAAGGCCTTAACTGGGAGTACATTGATGAGCCTTTGTCAGGGGTGCTGAAGAAGATTGGTGTCCTTGTCATTGACGACTGCCCAGGGTTTATAAGTCAGCATCCCGCGGTGTTGGGGACCTATCTAAACCCACCATCCACCAAAGGCGTTTTGAAGGCAATGGTAGTTTGTTCCTCCACTATGGAAACGTTTCTTAAAAACATTTGGGAGATGTCTACCAAAGAGAAGCAGATTTTGAGGTGCTTCCTGGCAAATGCACGTCCGGAGGACGTAGGAAATAAGGAACACAATCTTCTGTGCTCTCTTCCACTCTTTCAGACTCACTGCAAGACGTTTGTTTCCAAGATGGAAGGTCTGTGTGCAGCTCCCCGTGACTCCCTTCCGATTCAACCACTACGGCAACTCATTGACATTTCAGATGATGCTTCCGAGACCTTGGCTCGTTTATTGGAGGTCAGGATTCTGAAACCGATCGAACTGCTTTGCGAAGTTGTTTTTCCCGACATCCAGCAAGGCAAGTACACCGAAGCACACGTTGACTTGCTGATGTCCCATGTGTTCACACATTTCGCACATGTCATCCATACGGATGCTAACTTCAAGCGTCATTTGCAAGTGATCTCATTTGTGCCAAAGAAAACAGTCCGAGTGCGGGCATTGGAGGTCTTTGACCCCAGGAGCGAAAACCTGCAAAAACTGTTTTCCCACGAAGATGTTTTTCCAGTTGGTGAGCTCTACAACGACCCGGTTGTTCTGTCTATTCTGGAAGCACTTGGAATGAAAAAAGACAGCAAGATCACTGCAAAAGACCTTTATCAAAGTGCTAGAGAAGTAAGTATGCTCTGTCCAGTTCCATCCGCTGAGCACAAGTCTTCTGCTATTTTGCAATATCTCAGCAGCCAACCCCAAAAACTCCAGGAACCAGTTAATGGACGAAAATTGGGTGCGCTACTGAAGGATATCGCTTGGGTGTCTCGATTGCAACAGAGGCCCTGGAAGTTTCCTCCTACGCTTTCATGGTGTGAAACCGACAAAGAACAAGAAAGACACTTTTTCAAGCCAACAGAAATCAAAAGCCAGCAGTTGGTCAATCTTATTGGATCAGTAAGACCAGTTGTCAAGGTTGAGCCCTCGAATGAAATTTGCAAATATTTTGGCTGGAAGAACAAAGTCGATATCGACGATGTCGTACAGCATTTGCAAAATGTGGTTACATGTTACACCAAAGACGAGAAGCCGTATTACATGGTCGTAGTAGACGAAATCTACTCCTTTCTCAGCCTTATAGACCAAGAGGTTCTAACTATGGTATTCGATTTGACAAAGATCTCCGAATGGGTTTGGAATGGTAATGGCTTCTCTTCACCTTGCAAAGTGCTACCCAGTGAAACAAGAGTTGATCTCGCACCATACATACTTCCTCTTCCGTCAGAAATGACAAAGTTCAAGGATTTGTTTCACCGTTTTGGTATGAGATACCAAAGTAACACTGTACTTCTGCTCGAAGTCCTCGACATGATAAAAATGAAGCACGACAACAGAAATTTTCAGTGGAGGCCTTCAGAAGTAAAACGAGATCTCAAATTATCTGTAGAAATCCTGAATGAGTTGGCAACCGAACGGTTACGCCCTGAGTTGGAGACAAGGATTCTTTTTCCCATTCACGTCCAAGACGACTCCTATGTCCAACTTGAACCAGCTACACGCTGCATGTACTGCGAACATGAAGAATGGCTGACGAGAGACGGTGACGATGAAGGCATGGAATATTTCTATTTACACCCTAATATCTCCAGTACCACTGCAGAGCGTCTAGGAGTCCCGTCCCTCACAAATCGAATGTTGGACCCCGATGACTTGTTCATTGGAGAAGAGTTTGGCCAGCAGGAAAGGCTTACCACTCGTCTCAATCGACTTCTTGAGGACTACACCGATGGATTTGCTGTACCAAAAGAGCTCATTCAAAACGCAGACGATGCTGGTGCCACTGAGGTGAGATTCCTGTATGACGAAAGAAGCAATGAGAAAGCCATGACATGTCTGATCGATGAAGGCATGAAAGGCTGCCAAGGACCCGCTCTTTGGGTCTACAATGATGCAACTTTTAAAGATGAAGACTTTGTCAACATTACGAGACTAAATGAAGCAACCAAAGCGGAGGACACTGAGAAGATTGGACGATTTGGACTTGGCTTCAATGCAGTTTACAACCTGACAGACGTGCCTATGTTTGTAAGCAAAAACTATCTTGCGATCTTTGATCCTCATACGTCATATCTCGGAAAGGGCATCAAGAACAAAAGGAGACCAGGAATGAAGATCAATCTGAACAAAGACGTATGGAAACTTCGGAAATTTAAAAATCAGTTTCAACCGTTCAACGGTATCTTCGGCTGTGACTTACATCTGGAAAAAGAAGACAACTCATTTGATGGTACTCTTTTCAGATTTCCCCTGAGAACAAGAGAGCAAGCCATTGCAAGTGAGATCAAGCAACTGTGTTATGACGATCAACAAATGCGTGAATTACTGCAGATGTTTATCCATGGAGCGAAGCACTTGCTTCTCTTCACCCAGAATGTTATGCGAGTAGGTATTTACCACTTGCCAAACTTGGAGAACCAGGATACGCACCCAGCACTTATGTTTGAGGTTAAAAAGTCAGCACCACCAGAAAGAATACTCCGGGAGTTATCGTTTTCATTTACAGTTCCTCCCAACGCATTGAATTTTAGTCAAGAAGAGTTAATCTTCCTCAAACAATGCAATTTTTTACAAGCCGCCTCTAAAGTAAAAAAGTTGTCACAAGATCGCAAAAGTGACCCAACAAAGCTTCCAGTGTCTTCCATGATAATTGATGTCAATTGCAGTCTCACGAGAGATGGAGTGGATTTCTTCAACGTGAACGTGCCTCAAGGGACCGTAAATTGGCTTGTTGTTTCCTCAATGGGCACCGGGAAGGCCCTGAAGGTTGCTAAGAAAGACCCTACCCTCCTTCCGGCAGCGGGAGTTGCAGTTCAGATGGAACCTAAGGAGGAAAATAATTTCTTTCCCTTGCCCGTTGCTAAGCAGGTCGCTGAACGAAATCTCAATGGCAATATTTTCTGCTATCTCCCCCTCCCAATTTATAGTGGTTTATCTGTGCACATAAATGGTGCATTTGCAGTGGCGTCTAACCGACGCAGTCTACAGGAGAGAGTAGAAGACGACAAAATGTGGTTTAGAGTGGACTGGAATTGCGTGCTCATGCAAGATTCCGTGGTTTCTGCCTTCCTTGATCTTCTAGAGGATGTAAAGTCAGTTGCCCCTGATGACGGCTCGTATTTGTTCCACTCATTATGGCCAAAGGCGTGTCAAGTGCAACACAACTGCAGGCCACTTTTGACATCCTTTTATACCAAGCTCGCGGGTGGTGGCTATTCTTTATTTTCAGACGGAAAGAAATGGGTCGATATTACACAAGTAGTTTTCATTGATCCTCAGTTTCGGAACGAGCACAGAATTGGAGAAGCTGCGAACAAAGTTCTCAAAATGTGTGGCAGACGCAAAGGGCTGGTTATCGATTTGCCATCTGATGTATTGCATTCTTTCCAAGTTTGTGGTCTAGAGGAAGAAATAAACGCAAGAAGCTATAGCAAGATTGAATTCTTTCGTGAAATTTTCTTTCCGAATATTGCCGCCCTTCCATCAAACCTGAGGGATGTGTTGACTTTACATGCTTTGGATGTCAACGGGGCGGAATTCCGCAAGTTATTGAAGCTACACGCTTGCATTCCAGCATCACCAGCCGGTGAAAATCTAAAGTTGCCCAGCCAACTTGTGCACCCTAACAAAGAGGCTGCGTCGCTGTTCAATCCTGAAGATGGCAGATTCCCTTTTGGCAATGAAGAATCGTACCTTAACGGTCAAAGGCTGGCCATTCTCGAACAACTGGGAATGACCTCCAACGATCTATCATGGTTTGAGGTAGCCGAAAGGGCAGAGAGTGTTCAAATTCTAAATGCGTTTGACAGTAGCGCAGCGTTGGGGCGTGTACAAGCATTGCTCAGTTTTATGGAAAAGAAGACAAAAGCTGAACCGTCACCCGAAACTAACTTTTGTGAGCGAATTTTAAAAGCTAGCTTTATTCCAGTTCTCAAGAAGCCACCAAATTTTCCGCTACCCTGGAAAGGAGATGAATTTGAAGATAATTCGTTAATTACACCCGAAGAAGCTTACCCAACGGAGATCAAATACCTTGTATGTTGCACTGAACCTCTGACGGGTATTTTCATTTCAAACCCCTTGAGAAGGCTATTGCATTTAGAAACGAAGACTGTTACCCTTGAGCATGTGATGCAGCAACTTGTCAACGCTTTCTCCGCAAGAGTCGACTGCCTCAGCAGTTCACAATACAAAGAGTTAGACCAGGTCTGCATGGAGTTATATGAAATCTTGCAGAGATCTCTTCATGGCCATGGCTCTAGCATTTTAGAACAACTCCGCGGAAAGAGTTTCATTCTTGTTGGAAGGAGGTTTCTTTCCGCTCAACAAGTGGCACTAACGCTGACTGATGATTGCTCACCTTATCTTCTCGAACTGCCTCAGAGGTTGACTGAGGCTTTTTCTCCACTGATGAGGGCAGTAGGTGTGAAGGAGACATTTGATGTGCAGGATTTCATTTCAAGCTTGAATGAAGTGAAGAAAACTTTTGGAGAGAATGCACTAGACGGGAAAACCCTTAAAGTTGCAACGAACCTGACGAGACTGTTGGGCGAAGCAGTGAAGTCTAATGTTCCTTCCCAGGCAGAGGGGAACTGGGCAACTGTTCATCTACCCGACTCTAAAGGAGTGATGCGACCAGTGAGCGAACTTTGCATTCGAAACTGTTCCTGGTTGCCGGATGAGGAAGGCATTCATTATGTCAATGATGGAATCCCTTGGCCAACGAGCAGTCAGTTAGGTGTAAAAACAAGACGGCAAGAAGCTCTTAGACCTCATGTAGTTGGAATTGCCTTTGGACAAAAGGAGAAGCTCACAAATCGTTTAAAGCGCATTCTAACAGGCTACCCTTGTGAGAAAGAGATTTTGAAAGAACTTCTTCAAAATGCCGATGATGCGCAGGCAACCGAGATTTGTTTTATTAAAGATCCCAGGCATCATCCCAATAAAAAAGTGTTTGAGGACAGTTGGAAACCACTGCAGGGTCCTGCGCTGTGTGTTTACAACAACAAGCCATTTACCAATGCAGACATCGAGGGGATACGTAACCTTGGTGAGGGGAGCAAGAGCGAAGACCCAAACAAGACTGGCCAGTACGGCGTCGGTTTCAATGCTGTTTATCACTTGACAGATGTGCCGTCGTTCATGACTAAAGGAGAAGAGATTGGAGATGTTTTGTGTGCGTTTGATCCCCACTGTAAGTACGTCCCTGAAGCGACAGTTCAAGAGCCCGGTGTAATGTTGCAAGACATCCCAGCACTGCGGCAGAAATTTCCTGATGTATTCCCCTGCTATCTGGAGAATCATTTTCCTATTGACAATGGCACCATGTTCAGATTTCCCCTACGTACACCGCAAATGTCAAAGGTGTCGAAAATTTCTCCCAGTCCCGTTACACTAACAATGCTAAACACGATGATGGAAGACCTCAAAAAGGAATTGTTTGAAGTTCTACTCTTCGTGAACAATGTCAAAAAGATTACCCTCTGTGAAGTTAACGAAAAAAGTGGAGAACTAATCAATATTTATACAGTCAAGACATCAATGTCCAAGGAAGACGAGGCTAAACGACAAACGTTTACTGATTACATCAGACAGATCGGGGAGAAGACAAAAGAGAGAGGGGATTATCTTACGACTCAAATTCCAGTAGCCAAGGTTTCATATGTTTTAAACATGGAAGACAACTTAGGAAACAAAGAAAAGTGGTTGATCGTGCAGCAGATTGGTTTTGAGAAGACAGTGAAAGAGAGTATCGCCAAGGCCTTTAAACGACATGAACTGGGGATGCTTCCTCGCGGTGGCGTTGCTTGCCTTTTAGAGAAGACGTCACGTAATCCTAATGAAACGCGAAAGAAAGCTTTCTGCTTCCTCCCACTCCCTTTTGAAACCGATCTTCCGGTGCACATCAATGGTCACTTCGCACTGGACCACGAGGCGAGGCGAAATTTGTGGAGAGATGAAGCTGGAGGATATCGGAGTGACTGGAACAGTGCTCTACTGGCAGATGTGGTGGCGTCGTGTTATCTCACACTTTTAGTTGAGGTACGTACGTTTCTTCATCTACCCATTGCCTCCCCTTCCATTGTGGCGTGTACGGAAGATGAGATGTTAAGACGAATCAGTGCCTACGAAAGATTATTTCCACTTGAACCACCTGCAGACCCATATTGGAAGACGTTGATTGATTCCCTATATCAAGAACTAGACAACATCGGTTTAAGGATTCTTCCAGTGGTCAGAAGCAGACCAACAGATGCGACTCATAAAGTGTTTAACAGCGCTTCTATGGTTGAGGTGTCCTGGTTGCCGCCGAATGGAAATGGAAGAAATCAGGCTTTTTTTAACAACCTGGAAAGAAATAGGCCCTTCACCTGTTCAACAGAGAGGGACGTGGATGAGAAACAAACGAAGTTAAGAAAAAGGTTTGAAGAGATATTAATCAAAAGTGGCTTTAACTTAGTGGCCTGTACCCTGCAACTGTGTGAAGCGTTTCAGCGATCTGGAGTTCCTGTAGGCATCATTTCTCCCGCTTCTGTAATCGAATTCTACAAATCTACTACTTCTCAGGCACCTCTGTGTACAATTGGACCAATTCCCTGTAGCGTAGACGAGACCCCATTCAAGGATGCTCTTGGCGCCATTCTTGTGTTGTTATACTGCAAAGAACTACAAGACTTTGCTGACCAGCTTCCAGGTCTTCCACTGCTCTTGACGCAAGACAATTGCCTTCAGTTGTTCTCAAATACAAAGCCCAAATTCCTCTCCAGATTTCAAGATATTCTACCGGGCTCCCCGCAGCTTTTTATCCATGAAGACGTTTATCGTAAGTTGTTCACGGATTCTGTATTTCAACAATCAACTGTTTTGAAGCCCCTTGATGCACAAGGATTCGCTAGGAACCTGCCTCAAACCATACCACAATCGTTCTACGGAAACGCAGAGTTAGTTGAGTGGTCTCCACAGCAGAAATCAATTCCGAATCAACGATGGATATCCAGGGTGTGGACCTTTCTTACCGAGCTTACCAAAGACACACTTAATGATTCAAAAGCGACAGAAGAGTCCAAGACGGTCAAGATAAAGGGTGCACTTGGGTCGCTTGCCAACTGGAGTATTCTACCTGCTACTGAAGCGAAAACTGTAAGAGAAAAGACTTGGTTGGCCTCACTTCTTTCAACAAGGGCGGTGCAACCTGTCGTACACTATCTTGTTCCTTTGTGTCAAGCGTCATGTGTCGTCGATTACGCCAGTTCAGGTGATGCAAATCAAAATCTTGTGGAAGTGTTGCGAAAACTTGGGCTGCCTGAACTAAATTGCGCCCCACTAGTTAACGCATCGCCTAACGCAGTTTTTCTGACTCGTTTACTGGTCTCATCCTTGAGCATCCCAAAATCACTACTGACGTCGCTTGCCCAAAAGATTGAAATGGACCCACAGTCACCGGGAAGATTGGAGGCGGCAGACTGTCGAGTGATCTTGGAGTACTTCAGCAGGAATGTGAGATCCCTTCAACCTGATGACAAGAGCAGGTTGAAAAAACTTCCATTTTACCTGGCAACACACGGAGGCTTCATACACCTCGATCAGCATAATAAGGTTTGCGTCCTGCCTATTGGGATACCCAGAGCAGAAATTGATGTGTTGGAACACGCATTAGGTACAGTTTTCCTGGAATCCTGGTCAAGTCTATCAAGTTTGTTCAGTTTCCTAGATCTCGAATGTATATCCACTGTTGATGTATATTGCACCCACATCTTGCCGAATTTGAAGGAGTTCAGTGCTAATGCTAGGAAGGTACATCTGGAGTACACCCGTAAGGGCATTCTGTCAAATATTACAACAACGGAGGATGAAAAGAGAAGGCTGCTTGACTGCCTGAGAAAAACTCCAGTTATTCCTTCAGCAGACGGTACCCTGAAAACTGCATCTTCGTTTTACGATCCACATGAGGACGTGTTTCGGGCCATGCTTCCACCAACAAACTTTCCACCCGAACCATTTACTTCACTGGAGTGGTTAACATTCCTTCGAACAATTGGTCTGGTTCATGAAGTTTCCCAGGATCTCTTCAAGGGATTCGCTAGAAAAGTTGCTCATGAAGCAGCCACGGAGCCAACTGCAGACACAAGAGAGAAATCGCAAGTGCTGGTAAAACATCTCATAAAACGACCCAATGTGGTGGCAGAAGGACTATTACCAGCTATCTGTGACATTCCTTTTGTGGCCGGGGCCCCAGTTAGAAAAGCACTCCGAGATTTGTGTCAACCATATCAGGCGAAGAAAGATGGTTCCTTTTTTGCATTTAGAGGAGCGGTTCCTGTCGATTCTGCGGAAGTTGTATGGACGAGAGCGCATTTACTTCCAAAGTGGGCGGACCCTACCTGTCAAAGACACCAGCTCGGTTGCCCGTCGCGAAGCAGCACTAACCAGTACTGTAAAGATTTCATCGCCCAGCTTCAGATTATGAAGACACCATCTGTGGATATTGTTGTTGACCATTGCAAAACCATCTGTACCAGCCTTGGAAATAAAAGCGAAAGAGAAAGCTCTTCACATCAGCAGAACGTTACGAAACTAGAAGTCATGGAACGCATTTACGCTTTTTTGCAAGCAAATGCGACTACAAACAATGGAGCAAAGTTACTGGACCTCTCGAATACACCGTGCATTTTGGTCGAACAGGGAAAGAGATTCATTTTTCCAACACAAGCAGTCCTCGAGCTGTATGAGCACCTTGAAATTAAGCCTTATTTGTACAGCGTCCCTAGAGAATTTGGAAAGTTTCATCGTTTGTTTCAAAGCATTGGCTGTGCAAAGAGTGTTACGATTTCCCACTACGCAATGGTGTTGGAAAGGTTGAGCGATAAATGCAAGAATGTCACGCTGCACCCCAACGAAGTTACAATATGCGTCAGAGCGGTGCAAGGACTCTTTGAAAAGCTTGAGGAAAACACAAATGAGACCGAAAAGCTTTCTCGCCTGTACCTTCCAGGGATTTCCCCAAGAGGAAGCTCACCAGATGAAGGCCTGAGTTTAATGCCTGTGACCCTGCATGCATCTTCAAATCTGATTTTTAATGATGAACCTCCTGCCATCCTCAGTCGTCTGCAAAAGTTCAACCACCATTTCCTAGACTTAAAAGTTATGCAAGTGGTGTGTAGGTCCGCTATGACCAACTTCAAAGAACTAGTTATGAAGCTGCCGAGTGCATTACAACCAAGAATGCTCTCTTCAGTGGTCAATGAAAGACTTCGAGATGCACATTGTGTCGTAAACTATGAAGCAGTGGAGTCTTTACAGCAACGGGTGTCGTCGCCACAGTTCTTTTCTGGAATAGTTAGACTGATTCGAGACGAGAACTGCCAAAACGGAGATTTTGACGAAAGGGTGTTTCAAAGTATCAAGTTTGAACTCCAGAGCATTGAGATCTGCGCTGTGGGTAACCTGAAAACCACTCTTTTTTGTGACGAAGATGCCATTCCGGAAAGTGAAGCTGAAGTTCCCTCCTTCGTAGAAAAGAGGAAAACGCCTGGTGGAGCGAGGTACAAGGTGTATATTAATGTTTCCACAGCGATGGGAGAGAACGCCAATGCAGTAACATCCTTACTTTCCTGTGTGATTGTAGAGCTGTATGGACAGCTTCTTGGAAAGAGAGCAGGGTTAGTCTTTCAGATGTTGAACTGCCCTCTAGATGCGATATGGCCTCTTTTAGATTCTTTGAAAGTTCGCCAAGATGATTCCTACTGTGTAACGAAAATTCACATTTTCCCCACGTTAGGCACCTTTATTCCTTTAGAGGATCACCATCTGCTGAATGATGCATTCGAAGAATTTGAACCCGGTGAGTACGTGGGATATGAGCTCGAGGATCCGACATTAGAACTCAAGGAGGGAGTTGCGACCTACATTTACGCCAGAATTGTGGAGGAGGTGACAGATCAAAGACATCCTCTAGTGGCGAAGAAGTACATGGTTAACATTGGAGATAACCAAGTGATAGAAGTCGATGCCGCCGATTTGTACAAGTTCCACAGGTTAGACGCTCCAGCGTCCTCAGCAGTTGTCGTCTCTGCTCATCAGCGTCAAAACTCTGCAACTCACCCAGTCGGACATCCCAGAAGCAGGGATAAACAAGCCGTATTTGACGAGGTTTCAGACCTTCTGGAAGACGCATGGAAAATGCCAGAAGAGAAAAAGCGGAAAGTCATCAAACGGCTCTTTCTTCGATGGCATCCTGATAAAAACGTTGGCGATGAGGAATTCTGCACCGAGGTTTTCAAACATGTTCAAAATGAGATTTCGCGCTTGGAAAGGGGTGAACCAAGAGGTAGTCAGCAGGCGACTAATGCGGATGCAACTGGAAGCCACAGTGGTTCGTATAATGCTCATTTCACCACATGGGGGAACCGTGCAAGGCAGCATCACTCACAGAGAGAAGGATACAGAAGAAGACAGCATTTTCATCGAGGCTTCACAGGGAGACCAAATCCACAACCGGGGGAAGCCAAGCGTTGGTTCAAACAGGCAAAAGCTGATGTTGCTGCAGTAGAGAACGACATCTTTTGCAGCAAGCCTTCCTATGAATGGGCTTGTTTCAAGTGCCACCAGGTATGGCCTGAATATATTTCATTTGCAGGCTCTATTTCATTGCAGTAAGATGAGTTGCACTTCACGGGTTGCGTTGATAAAGTTTATGCGTTGCTCTCTGTTATATTTTAATCTCGTATAAGTTGGCATAATCTCGTGTGTATGTTGTTATTCCCTTAGAATTTGCTGTTGTAATAATCTACGTTGTAATAGATATTTCACAATTATTCCGTGAGCGCGCGTTGGATATGAGTTGGCTATAACCAATCTCATATCCAACAAGTGCGAATGGAATAATTATCTTATTAGATTTTATTAAACGTTTCGTGAACGTTTCGAAATCGTAGCTGAATTTTAGGTGAAAACTTTCGCTTCCTGCGACAAATTTCCAGCATGACAACACTTGCGCGCGCGATCATTTCCATATAAGGGCAAACTGCGGTATATGAGCTGATAACCGTGATTTAGTGAACCAATCAGGACACAAAAAACGCAATATCCGAGGCTGAAAATTTAATAAGGTCAATTAGGCAGTCTCCCTTGAGATAACTAAGCTTATAGCTCACGATATACTTTTTTTTAAATAACAAAGCTAATTTTTCTTTTCGTCCAGGCAGCTGAGAAGGCCCTGAAAGCCGCCAAGTACACCATTGACGTAGACAAATCAAACGTCCACGACTTGAATTTGATTTGCTGTGGTTTGGATGACTCTGTACTTCTTCGCCTAGCTAGCCAGCTAGAGGGCCTTGTGGGGAGGTCCACACGCATGCGATATCCAGACAATTTGTGTTTTCCAAGGATTCCAAACGAGGTGTACGATGCCCAGATGGCCGAAGAAGCCTTGCGTCTGGCAAAGGAGATTGTCGAGCGAGTAAAAAGCAGGATACCTTGAGGTTTGTTTCCGTTACAAAAATGAGTTAACCCTTTCCTCTGGAAACAGTTTTGTGGAATTGCTAGGAATTGCCCTTATCATGTTCAACCTAAAGGCATGTTTTGTACTTCCTCAATTTTATGAGGCATCGACTTTACCTCGTTCAAAGGTGAAACACTGGTTTCGAGAAGCCTTTACACATTGAATCATGTAACAGTTGTCGTATTCGGTATAGTTTTCGTGATACCGTGTGTCTTGTGTGTCATGTTTAATGTGAGTTTTATTGATTTCTTCATTTTTTTTTTCTTGTTTGTCTACTTCAAAGTGTTTTTGTTTATTTACAAAAAAAATTCAGATTTTCTGTGATGTTACCTTATCTAATTGCAAAAAGTAGTTTCCAATTCAAGAGGAACCCCTCACTAACATGGCAGAAAAAAGTCGAATGGATCAGCTGGTCAGTCACGTGATAAAACAGGCTATACTGGGCTGCAATCAACGCCATGGGACAAGAAAAATTTAAGTTCTTTCTTTGTTTTGTCCCAGTGTGTTGCTTACGGCCTAGTATGGCACTTTTGTATCACGTGACTGACCAGCTGCAAAGGACCCATTGGGCAGTCTTCTGTACAACTGGAAAATAAGCAAGTAGCCAAAACATCTGTCTCGCTGAATGAAGTAACAATTGGTTTCATTTCTCTATGAAAGTTTAGCAATCCTTTCATTTAACGTGCCGTGATGTTTTTGCTTTTCAGGTGCAGCTACTGAATTTTCCTAGACATTAGCAAACGATGGCAACTCTGGCGTTCCTGCGGCGAAAGTAGCCGTCATTCCTGATCTTTTTCTTTCTTTGTCTTGCTAGACATCTGTAAATAATCATTTTAAAAGTCAACATATCCACCATTTTGAATAACATATACGACAACAATTTTTTGACAGTGCCGAAATAAGCTAGTAGCACGAGAAAACCGCGAAGTAGCGGGATTGAAACAGTTGGGATGAAGCTAACTTAACTCGTATAGTGCCGAGCGTCTGAATCTGCATAGATTCTCATAGGATGTTCTGAACAATCGTGTTAAAGGGAGAAAAGGCATATTCTATAGCGATTTCAAGCTGGAGCTAAGAATGACTTAGTCACAATTTTGCCCTTCAAAAAAGGTTTCAAAGTTGATACCAACAAGTAGTTTATATGTACCTGTAGTATTGAAAGATAGGTCATGTTCGTTTTGGGAAATTTGAACCACTAAGTTGTTTTATCGTTTGTCCTAGTTAAGGCATGCTGGTCTTTATCACTTGATAGGGTCGATTTGTTAGGCCTCATTGTATGTTGCATGATAACAGGATGTTCTAAAACCAGATCAATCCGATTCAAATTATACTGCGATGAGCTAGTGACGAAACGAATTTTCGTAGTTTATCTTGATTAAGAGACATTTCAAGCAGCTATTAACAGCCGCGCTTTTAAAAAATTTTTTTTTTTTGACTTATGGAGTTAACCTTCGAAAACAGAATACGTCTTAGTAAAAGAGAAATTTTTATTCAAGTAAATTGCTGTAGTTCTGTGAAACCTCTCCAGTTTAGCGCTGAAGTAAGCAGAAAACTAAAGTAGAACTTTAAGATCACTTTAATATGAAGCTAAGTACCTTTTCTTTTGAGGCGTTTCTAGTACCTTTTTACAGCAAACAGTATTAATGTTGCATTCATAATTATCCTGACTACAAAAGGGAATTTAGTGTTGGAGATAGGGCAACTTCTCTATGCATACAGTGCAACGGTAGCTTGTTAAACACTATTATTATTGTAGGTTAAACGTTTTAATAGCTGGTCAAGTTCCTTCGTTTCGTTTTTACTCAGATTTAAAGTTTGAGCAAAACCCACATCAAAACTAAATCAGAGCATTTATTTTGATACAGGCTACCTACCATAGGTTCCTTTAGTGGTGTTTCTACGAGCTTTCTTTAACTCGTTCCTCAGCCAATCAGCGTCCACTTTTGAATGGAAGTGATGAGCTTCAGCGTAGCCTACAGTCTTCAGCTATCTGTAACACGCCTTGAAATCAGGAGTCACGAATTTGCAGTTTGATGAATGGTGCGAGTATGAAGGCTCGGTTTTCAATACCGGTAGTCCCACATTATCTTTAAATTCTCAGCTATCTGTAAAGAGACAAGCGTCTTGTTACCACAGTAGACGGTTTTGATCGTGAGCCACCGATTTCTGCGTGTGAGCTGTACTACCTGTGATTAATAAAGTTGTTCTTTAGTCTGGATACGTCTCCCCTTGCACTGAATGATTAAGGCTTCATGAAAGTGCAGGACCCGCCGAAAGGCCCATGATAGCCATCTGTGCTCAACGGACTACAGATAGTGAACATAGAGTACTGCGTTCTTAATATACATTGTACCTGGAGCTTGGGAAGTACCCTCCTTACCAGTCACTGTTTTTGGTTCGATTCAGTGTTTGCGGGGTGGGATGGGTGGGGGGTGGAGATGGGATTGCATAACTTTTGTATGCTGCTGTCCGTACAAACGAAAAGAAAAAACATCAACACCCTTTGTCAGTCCTCTAAAATGTAATGAAGATTTGAAAAACAATAAGGTCAGGAAATTTTGAGCTGAGTTAGTAGGAATGCAGTAAAACAAAACAATGATGAGCACTTGAGTGTGGGGTTGGGTTTCGTCTGCTTTTTGTTTCGTTAGCGAGCTTTGAAAACAGATTGAAACATTCAAAACATATCATGCATGGAGTAATGAAAATATGAGGAGAAAAGAGTAACCTTATCCATACACAACTCATAGTTCCTCGGTTCGCTCCGACGAAGGGCTAGTGTAACCTCTATCCCAGGTTGTCTCTTCCTCCTATTTGAATCCCATTTACGCTAGCCAAGTTTACATCATCAACTCAATTGATCTAACCAAATTCCCCATACTTCACAGTTTACTGGAAAAAGGATTTTTAAGATAAAAAATGATAAAAGACTTCTCATTCTGAACTAGATCACTAACTGCTAAACAGGTATCACCAAAGTTGTATCATAAGTGGGCTGTTATATCGTAATGTCCTTTGTCCTGAGTTCTCTCTCTCTAAAACAAACACTCATCAGCCGCGAACCCTCAAAGTAAAAACTTAATCTTTGACGGACTTTTCTAAGCTTTATTTTTATTCTTATTTACGACTGGCCGTGGTTAAGGCTTTGAGCGTGTGGGGAAATAGGCCCTTTTATGACTTTTTATCCCTTTTGAAAATAAGTTGTAAATTTTAGCTAAAAAGCCAAAACGACTATCTGCACCTTTCTTCGTTGATTCGTATGCTTCTTTAATATGGCATTTGTATCAGAAACGTTCCACAGGGTGTTACGCCTTCAAAACCCAAAAGCGGGTGGTAACTACAATTATCTTTAATTAAAATTAACACGGTAAATTACCCTTATTATTCTCGGCCATTCGTAGGTACCAATCAAAAGGCTTGACGCTCTGTGGGCCACTTCTGCTCCAACATGTATCATAGACCTAGAAGTAAGTTATTTAACCAGTGCGGGTTTCTCTGACGTGACCTAGATGAAATACGACACCGAATGTGTGATGTGGCTGGATATTCCAAGAAAGTTCAATTGACATCCGCTGTTTGTTCAGTTAGCAATTCCGAGAAAGCGAAACGTGAGCCCTTTTAATTCAAAAAAACAACTGCAGGCGAGTCAGTTAGATTCAAGGAAAGATCTCTTGCGGACGACGTTTTTGGTAAATTTTTCAGTTTGCCCTGATTCTAGAGTGGTTTTGTTTGTTGGCCTCTTTTAACTTCAGTCGCTAGACATTTTTACTTGGGAAGGTAGAATAGAGCTTCGAACAGATATTTTGGTAGTAAAATTGAAAGAGGAATTTACGGTAAACATGTCTTAAAAACGGATCGGAAAGTCCAGGGTCATTTTCTCGCAGCGGTAATGGATTCAAAAAGTTAGAATTCTCCCGCTTTCGTTAACGTAGACCGAAAGCTCCTCTCTGACTTTTCAAGTGTTGCTGCTTCTACGGCGGAATTCGTTTCTGAAACACGACGCGCCAGAGAAACTCGCTCCTTTGTGAGGATTTTCTCAGTATCTGCAAAAAGGAGTTGATCGTATAAATTCGTGTTCAGAAGTAAAAAAAAAAAGTACAGATAGCCATAAGATCTATTTATGAGTTTCTGAGTTACAGGAAGGTTGTGCCGTTTTATGAGACGTGGGCGAGCCTTTATGGCAGAAGTTCCTGTACAACTTGAGCTCTTTTGAACGACGAATTATGGATCAAGCCAACAGTAACAAAATTTCTGCCTTTAAATTGCACAAAATCGTTAGAAACAGGGACTAATTAAAATATAAATTCTCTCTCTGGTGGCAAAGATTTCAATATTATCCCAAATTTCGATAGAATTGAGTCGTGTGCTAGATTTTGGACTTCACATAGTTTTAGTGTAAAATGGGAATTGGCTACATGCAGACGGCGGTGAACAAACGAAACTTAAAAGTTAGTCATAATCGTGCCCTAAATTACTAATTAATGTTTAAAGAAAAGCTAGAGGCTTCCCTTTTTCAGAGTTTTTGTTATTTGTCAAGACATATATTTAGACTAAAGCGAGGTGAATGTGGTTGACATCGCCGACAGAGACTATTCGGTGAGAATCCACCATTTTCTGTCCGCGTAATTGCAAGTGCTACTTCGTGGAGACCGTTTCATAGTAAAATCTACTCGAAAATTGCCTTTGCCCTAAACAAAAAAAAACAAAAAAAAAACAGCGAGCAGTTGAAAACGAAAAGTATCTCCGAAAAGTTTAAACTGCAAGACAGTGTCGCTAAATCCCCATAACTGGCCGTATCAGCTACGGATTTTCTCTCATTCTGGTTCATTTCCGTTTGAAAGCCTAAGCTTTTACACGGACGATAGCCGAACGCAAAACTCTCGTAATAGAGTTCTCTGAAGGACTTTTTCATTTTTAGAAGCGAGAGAACCGAATCGTTTCAGTTTAACAGCAAACAGAGGTTTGCGCCCAGCTACAGGGAATTTGATACAAGCACAGCTGTTCATCTGTTTTCCTGGAAAGCGTCCGAGTGTTCCGGGAAAGTGAAGGGTTAGAAACCGTTCCTCTTGCTTTGAAAATATTTGATGCTAATTTTATACTAAATTATAGTGAATGAAAAGTAATTGAATATTATCAGTGGGGTTCCGTCCATTCAACAAGTCTGTTATCCAGAGAAACACAGCATACAGCTCCTCTATGTATACTAACCCGGGAATGCCTTCATAAATGACCTAAAAATAACTGGGTGAAAACAAGGAAATTCCATTTTATAATCAGTCAAAATTAGAAAACACGCAAAACTAATAGTATAATTAGAGACATTACAGGTAAAATTGAGACTAGCAACAGCTGCTTATTCTTTGAGAAAGTAAATGGGAACAACAGAGCCCGGATGGTTCTGGAAAAACTTAAATGACACGCAGAGCTTTGATCTGCTTGCAGACAAAGTAAAGCAAATGCACATATTTAACAGCAAAAATGGAAACTAATGTTTATGTTGTTTCAGAGAACAAAAGACATTTTTCTGCTAAGCTAAAGTGAATGTTCGTTTGATTTGAAAATTAGACACCCTCAGCTGTATGAATTTCAACGAGGTATAGTTTTAATTTATGTTGCTATTGGGACCCAGCTTAGTTTCCTAACAGGGTTATGAAAGTAAGACTCCTGAAGAAGGCGTGCCTTCTATCAGTCAACGGTTGGTCAACCATGGTGAAAAAATGGCTAAACGAGAGATCAAACTCGGACTTGCACAGGCAGGTTTCAAGCTTAGAGAAAAAAATAAACAAAAACACGCATATAAAATGCTCTCCGTACCTTAAATGAAAACCCCATTAACAGATTTAATTCCAGTAAAAGCACTTTTTTGCATAACCTCAACCATTAGTCTGCGGTTTTCGTTGTTTGATTTCCTGACTACCTTGGATGGAATTCGTTAACCGCTCCACCGGCCGTCGCCGGAAGTCTTATGAAACAAGTACATATTTCCGGGAAATCTGTTCACGTGACAACCGCGGTTTCTTTAGTCGGCAATTCCGGGAAATCGTTAAATTCCAAGAAAACTCTGTACCTTTCGCCAAGCTCGGGGCAGATTTCTATCTAAAGTTTTCGGTGGTAAGTCATTTCTCATTTAAATCCTAGTGTTTTACGCCCACAAATCTCGGCGTTTACGTCTTGACTAGAAAGCGCCGGACGACGATGGCTATCTTTCTGTATAAAGATCCCTTCTGGTCCTTCTGATCTGCAATATTTGCTCCACAACGCAACTTCTGTTGAGGAACGTAAACCTGTCGTAAGATAGGCCATTCCCAACCATTTGTTTTTGCCTTACTACGGGTGTTGCTTTCGAAGGGTTTTCAAGAACCCTGGCCGAACACTGTTTTCGCGCGCGCTCCACTGCGCGCACAAGGATATAAAATTTTTTATTGCAAAAAAACAAACATGGCGTCAATACATTGATCAGTTTAGGCCAGCGCTATCTGTACTATATTTCCTTCGTAATTGAACACAGTGTATTGATGGTTTTAGTCTTTTATTACAAAGGTATGTTAGAAAAGGTAACGATGCAAAGAACCCAGCAATTTTCAGCTTTTTCTTTGTTGACCTTTGTTACCAAAATTAATGAGGGGGTGAATAGGTTTTGGGATCGACGGATTTGGCCTTAAAAAGCGCGCGGATTGTGGATTTTTGCGGTAAATCGAGCGGATTCGCGGATTTTAAAAACACAGTAGATCTTGGATCAGCTGTAAATTTTGGCGCGTATTCCGGATTGTGCCTTTTTTGATGTTCCTAAACGAAATTTGGATCTTAGATCTTTCTTCAGCTGCTTGGTCGGTATGCTAATGAGTTCATCCAAATTATATCTTTTTTCGAACGAAGCTTATTAATTCAGGTGTGAGACCGTTATTGGAATTGTACTGTGTTATAGTCATCAAGCTTGTTGCCTTCTTTGCTATTTGTGCGAAATTAACAATGGCATTCACATTTACCACTTTGCCTTTGAAGTTTTACACTTCTGTTTTTACACTTCTGTTTTTGTTTGATGTGGTTGTGGTTTTGGATTTGAACAAAAATTTTGGTGGATTGACGGATTTGGCAAAAAAAAAAGGCACAGGTCGGCGGATTTGCATACCCCTATTCACCCCCCTCCCAAATGAACCTAGTTAACTGTAGCGCATGCGTAGTAAATCGAAAAAGTGCGATTTAATGCGGAATGGCTTTCTAGGAAATACTGCCAATTTCTCAAGAACCACTCATTAGAATTTCATGAAATTTGGCATGAAAATACTTTAGGAAATAAGTAACTAGAGTATTATTACAGAGTATTTAACAAAGGAAATTCTAGATATTCCAGTGAACCTCCAACAAGGGATATTAGAAAACAGTCCTAAGAAAATAATTTTTGTATGTGCTGATTGGTTAAAAATTGTGTTTCTATTAAGCAATTAGATTATGAGCTCGAGATTTCTATTGTGAAACACTTGTGAAAGTTTGGGAGAACTTGAAATAGCTGTGGAAACACTAGCCTGCGGCTTGTGTTCCCACAGCATTTCTCGTTCTCCCAAACTTCCACTCGTGTTTCGTAATTATTAACTCGACAGAAACATGGTACATGTCTTCTACTTCTTAAACTGAAGATCTCTATGTTAAATTATTATTAAAATAGGGTTAACTTGTGTGCATCATTACAAGCTTGTTGCATGCAAATTATAAGAAAATCTAATGATTAGATTTTCTGCAAATAAACAAAATGATTTTAAAGGCTTGTTTAAATTTATTCATGTTGCCATGGCAATGGCACATACGTCAGCTTAACTATAAAAAAAGCGAAGTTTGTGTTGTTAACTTACTCGTTGCTATTTTTGGCGACCAAAGGATCAAGGGTTTTAGAGAAAAGGATGAATGAAACACAGGTATCAAAATCTGAGTTCAGCCACCTAACAAAAAAAAACAACAAAAACTGAGTTTATGACTAATATATAGATTTAGCCAAGCCTAGTGGAGTGCCTGGACCAGTGGTGCTAGATTAGTTGATGTCCTGTATTGGTCAACGTTATTAATTTCTTTCTTTCCTCCCCAGACAATGATTACTTAATGCGAGCAGAATTCTGACGGCTTTTCCTGGTTACAAGTGAGTAGAAATTTCTTTGGACAAGATTGACTGACGAGCACATTCTTCTTTCAGCATGACAATCTCTGTTGGTAGCTACAGAGTGGAATCTTAATCTTAATTGTTTTACTTTCCTCATATATTTATGCTTGATCCATTCTAAGTTTGTAAATATTTAGTTCTATATATTTTGTTCCTCAAAGACGAAGCTCAAAGAACAAAACAATTGAGTATGCGGATTATGGCCATTGAGAAACACAGCCAGATTACGACCTCCGGCGTGCTGTGTGTTTTTATTAAAATCCACAGATACGTAGCCAGTTCACCAGTTTGAAGCTTCAACAATCTTAATCGCCTCGGTATGGGATGTAGGTTTCGTTTACTATTCGTTAAGAAAAGTGTCTATTTCAAGTACAAAAAATGTAATCCGTTTAATTTGCCGTATAATTTCCTCACCTATAGTTTCCATTATTTATTTTGTTCTGGGACTTGGAGTGATTCGTTTGACCTTGGAATAGTTAGATGGCATCCAGCTGGCATCCCAAATTCGTGTCTTATGCAGTACCTTGACAATGTCAAGCTTTAATCCACCAGTAATAGAGAAGAATATACAAGCCATGAAAATTGCTAGTTTTTTACAGAAGCTAGTGGCAAATTAACCCAAGATCGAAGAAATTCTCGATGGCTCCCCGGCTTAAACTTTGCACAGATCAACCTACTTCTTTGGTCTTTTTCTTGTTTCTGGTTGAGTTTCACTGAGATAGAGGTATTGAATGAAGAGGAATACATGAACTCTATCCTAAGCATCGTGTATTGCTACAGCCTCCATCAACACATCTTAAGCTTCCTTGCATTCTGCAGTGATTTTGACACACATGTACACTATTGCTTGTTCCCATATATTCTTCTCAGTACGTATTCCCGAAATGACGTCAGAAGACAACTCATCCTATTCTCCGCTATTCCTTGGTCATGAACATGGAAAAGGGCAATTTTACAAATTTTGAAATTTCGTAGAAAATTAATGAAAATAGCTACAACCATAATTTCTTTGCAGTGGTGATCAAGAGAAAAAAGAGATTCGTATTAGTGAGAAACAATTTTGGGGGTTATAGTGGCACTTTAAGGAATGCATTTAGTTAGTACGTCAATGATGAACACTCAAAAGAACAACAGAACACAGTGGAATTAACAGTAAAGGAAGAAAAAGAAGCAAGGACTTAAGTGTCACTCTGTCTAGTGTTAGTGTTGACCATTTGCTTGAAAGAAAATCTTTTATAAATGCACTTGGCCACGGATGATCTGTTTGGAAGTGTTATGTCTTTGCTACAAATATTACAGACAGTTTTCTATGTTGCTGAAGATGAATGATAAGTTAACTTAGTCACCAAAAGATAAAAAAAAACCTGTGTGGATTTTATGAGCATCCTGTCGCTATGTCCAAATTGTTGAGCAAAACTGTCTTTTCTCAATGTACTCTAGCTATTTATTCCCTACTCAGACATTAATTTTTTACCGTGGCTCTAGCTGTCACCGTGAGTGAATAAAGGAACCAATGAGCTGATTCTTTTCCTTTTAATCACCATATTGTCCTTGAAATCTTCAAAATCATAGCTGTCATCAACTTCATTGATCTAATTGTTGTCATTGTCCCTCATTGTTCCTGTATCATTCATTGTCAGTCATGTCATTGTTATAGTTACCGTCATTATAACTGTCGTCATCACTTATTGTCATTGTCATGTTTATTTTTATTGTCAAGCACTTTCATTAACATTGCTATTTTAATTAATTTTCAGCATCAACACTGTCAGTGTTGCCATCATTGTCATGGTCATGGTCATTATCCTTGTACTTATCTCCTTGTCTTTGTCACTGCACTCAGTTGCTGTCACTGTTACTGTCTTTCTTCTTGTCAATATCACTGTCCTTGTTCTAGTCACTGTCACTATCGTCACTATCACTGTCCTTGCCCTTGTTCTTAACTTGCCCTTCTCCTCTAAGGTTGGTAGTTTATCAGTAATTGCCTTGAAAATTAGATCATAAACTAAGAGACCAATGATACCTGCACAGATGTCCACTATAAAAAAAAAAAAAAAAAAAAAAAAAAAAAAAAAAAAAAAANTTATTAATTCAGGTGTGAGACCGTTATTGGAATTGTACTGTGTTATAGTCATCAAGCTTGTTGCCTTCTTTGCTATTTGTGCGAAATTAACAATGGCATTCACATTTACCACTTTGCCTTTGAAGTTTTACACTTCTGTTTTTACACTTCTGTTTTTGTTTGATGTGGTTGTGGTTTTGGATTAGAACAAAAATTTTGGTGGATTGACGGATTTGGCAAAAAAAAAAGGCACAGGTCGGCGGATTTGCATACCCCTATTCACCCCCCTCCCAAATGAACCTAGTTAACTGTAGCGCATGCGTAGTAAATCGAAAAAGTGCGATTTAATGCGGAATGGCTTTCTAGGAAATACTGCCAATTTCTCAAGAACCACTCATTAGAATTTCATGAAATTTGGCGCGGATTGTGGATTTTTGCGGTAAATCGAGTGGATTCGCGGATTTTAAAAACACAGTAGATCTTGGATCAGCTGTAAATTTTGGCGCGTATTCCGGATTGTGCCTTTTTTGATGTTCCTAAACGAAATTTGGATCTTAGATCTTTCTTCAGCTGCTTGGTCGGTATGCTAATGAGTTCATCCAAATTATATCTTTTTTCGAACGAAGCTTATTAATTCAGGTGTGAGACCGTTATTGGAATTGTACTGTGTTATAGTCATCAAGCTTGTTGCCTTCTTTGCTATTTGTGCGAAATTAACAATGGCATTCACATTTACCACTTTGCCTTTGAAGTTTTACACTTCTGTTTTTACACTTCTGTTTTTGTTTGATGTGGTTGTGGTTTTGGATTAGAACAAAAATTTTGGTGGATTGACGGATTTGGCAAAAAAAAAAGGCACAGGTCGGCGGATTTGCATACCCCTATTCACCCCCCTCCCAAATGAACCTAGTTAACTGTAGCGCATGCGTAGTAAATCGAAAAAGTGCGATTTAATGCGGAATGGCTTTCTAGGAAATACTGCCAATTTCTCAAGAACCACTCATTAGAATTTCATGAAATTTGGCGCGGATTGTGGATTTTTGCGGTAAATCGAGTGGATTCGCGGATTTTAAAAACACAGTAGATCTTGGATCAGCTGTAAATTTTGGCGCGTATTCCGGATTGTGCCTTTTTTGATGTTCCTAAACGAAATTTGGATCTTAGATCTTTCTTCAGCTGCTTGGTCGGTATGCTAATGAGTTCATCCAAATTATATCTTTTTTCGAACGAAGCTTATTAATTCAGGTGTGAGACCGTTATTGGAATTGTACTGTGTTATAGTCATCAAGCTTGTTGCCTTCTTTGCTATTTGTGCGAAATTAACAATGGCATTCACATTTACCACTTTGCCTTTGAAGTTTTACACTTCTGTTTTTACACTTCTGTTTTTGTTTGATGTGGTTGTGGTTTTGGATTAGAACAAAAATTTTGGTGGATTGACGGATTTGGCAAAAAAAAAAGGCACAGGTCGGCGGATTTGCATACCCCTATTCACCCCCCTCCCAAATGAACCTAGTTAACTGTAGCGCATGCGTAGTAAATCGAAAAAGTGCGATTTAATGCGGAATGGCTTTCTAGGAAATACTGCCAATTTCTCAAGAACCACTCATTAGAATTTCATGAAATTTGGCGCGGATTGTGGATTTTTGCGGTAAATCGAGTGGATTCGCGGATTTTAAAAACACAGTAGATCTTGGATCAGCTGTAAATTTTGGCGCGTATTCCGGATTGTGCCTTTTTTGATGTTCCTAAACGAAATTTGGATCTTAGATCTTTCTTCAGCTGCTTGGTCGGTATGCTAATGAGTTCATCCAAATTATATCTTTTTTCGAACGAAGCTTATTAATTCAGGTGTGAGACCGTTATTGGAATTGTACTGTGTTATAGTCATCAAGCTTGTTGCCTTCTTTGCTATTTGTGCGAAATTAACAATGGCATTCACATTTACCACTTTGCCTTTGAAGTTTTACACTTCTGTTTTTACACTTCTGTTTTTGTTTGATGTGGTTGTGGTTTTGGATTAGAACAAAAATTTTGGTGGATTGACGGATTTGGCAAAAAAAAAAGGCACAGGTCGGCGGATTTGCATACCCCTATTCACCCCCCTCCCAAATGAACCTAGTTAACTGTAGCGCATGCGTAGTAAATCGAAAAAGTGCGATTTAATGCGGAATGGCTTTCTAGGAAATACTGCCAATTTCTCAAGAACCACTCATTAGAATTTCATGAAATTTGGCGCGGATTGTGGATTTTTGCGGTAAATCGAGTGGATTCGCGGATTTTAAAAACACAGTAGATCTTGGATCAGCTGTAAATTTTGGCGCGTATTCCGGATTGTGCCTTTTTTGATGTTCCTAAACGAAATTTGGATCTTAGATCTTTCTTCAGCTGCTTGGTCGGTATGCTAATGAGTTCATCCAAATTATATCTTTTTTCGAACGAAGCTTATTAATTCAGGTGTGAGACCGTTATTGGAATTGTACTGTGTTATAGTCATCAAGCTTGTTGCCTTCTTTGCTATTTGTGCGAAATTAACAATGGCATTCACATTTACCACTTTGCCTTTGAAGTTTTACACTTCTGTTTTTACACTTCTGTTTTTGTTTGATGTGGTTGTGGTTTTGGATTAGAACAAAAATTTTGGTGGATTGACGGATTTGGCAAAAAAAAAAGGCACAGGTCGGCGGATTTGCATACCCCTATTCACCCCCCTCCCAAATGAACCTAGTTAACTGTAGCGCATGCGTAGTAAATCGAAAAAGTGCGATTTAATGCGGAATGGCTTTCTAGGAAATACTGCCAATTTCTCAAGAACCACTCATTAGAATTTCATGAAATTTGGCGCGGATTGTGGATTTTTGCGGTAAATCGAGTGGATTCGCGGATTTTAAAAACACAGTAGATCTTGGATCAGCTGTAAATTTTGGCGCGTATTCCGGATTGTGCCTTTTTTGATGTTCCTAAACGAAATTTGGATCTTAGATCTTTCTTCAGCTGCTTGGTCGGTATGCTAATGAGTTCATCCAAATTATATCTTTTTTCGAACGAAGCTTATTAATTCAGGTGTGAGACCGTTATTGGAATTGTACTGTGTTATAGTCATCAAGCTTGTTGCCTTCTTTGCTATTTGTGCGAAATTAACAATGGCATTCACATTTACCACTTTGCCTTTGAAGTTTTACACTTCTGTTTTTACACTTCTGTTTTTGTTTGATGTGGTTGTGGTTTTGGATTAGAACAAAAATTTTGGTGGATTGACGGATTTGGCAAAAAAAAAAGGCACAGGTCGGCGGATTTGCATACCCCTATTCACCCCCCTCCCAAATGAACCTAGTTAACTGTAGCGCATGCGTAGTAAATCGAAAAAGTGCGATTTAATGCGGAATGGCTTTCTAGGAAATACTGCCAATTTCTCAAGAACCACTCATTAGAATTTCATGAAATTTGGCATGAAAATACTTTAGGAAATAAGTAACTAGAGTATTATTACAGAGTATTTAACAAAGGAAATTCTAGATATTCCAGTGAACCTCCAACAAGGGATATTAGAAAACAGTCCTAAGAAAATAATTTTTGTATGTGCTGATTGGTTAAAAATTGTGTTTCTATTAAGCAATTAGATTATGAGCTCGAGATTTCTATTGTGAAACACTTGTGAAAGTTTGGGAGAACTTGAAATAGCTGTGGAAACACTAGCCTGCGGCTTGTGTTCCCACAGCATTTCTCGTTCTCCCAAACTTCCACTCGTGTTTCGTAATTATTAACTCGACAGAAACATGGTACATGTCTTCTACTTCTTAAACTGAAGATCTCTATGTTAAATTATTATTAAAATAGGGTTAACTTGTGTGCATCATTACAAGCTTGTTGCATGCAAATTATAAGAAAATCTAATGATTAGATTTTCTGCAAATAAACAAAATGATTTTAAAGGCTTGTTTAAATTTATTCATGTTGCCATGGCAATGGCACATACGTCAGCTTAACTATAAAAAAAGCGAAGTTTGTGTTGTTAACTTACTCGTTGCTATTTTTGGCGACCAAAGGATCAAGGGTTTTAGAGAAAAGGATGAATGAAACACAGGTATCAAAATCTGAGTTCAGCCACCTAACAAAAAAAAACAACAAAAACTGAGTTTATGACTAATATATAGATTTAGCCAAGCCTAGTGGAGTGCCTGGACCAGTGGTGCTAGATTAGTTGATGTCCTGTATTGGTCAACGTTATTAATTTCTTTCTTTCCTCCCCAGACAATGATTACTTAATGCGAGCAGAATTCTGACGGCTTTTCCTGGTTACAAGTGAGTAGAAATTTCTTTGGACAAGATTGACTGACGAGCACATTCTTCTTTCAGCATGACAATCTCTGTTGGTAGCTACAGAGTGGAATCTTAATCTTAATTGTTTTACTTTCCTCATATATTTATGCTTGATCCATTCTAAGTTTGTAAATATTTAGTTCTATATATTTTGTTCCTCAAAGACGAAGCTCAAAGAACAAAACAATTGAGTATGCGGATTATGGCCATTGAGAAACACAGCCAGATTACGACCTCCGGCGTGCTGTGTGTTTTTATTAAAATCCACAGATACGTAGCCAGTTCACCAGTTTGAAGCTTCAACAATCTTAATCGCCTCGGTATGGGATGTAGGTTTCGTTTACTATTCGTTAAGAAAAGTGTCTATTTCAAGTACAAAAAATGTAATCCGTTTAATTTGCCGTATAATTTCCTCACCTATAGTTTCCATTATTTATTTTGTTCTGGGACTTGGAGTGATTCGTTTGACCTTGGAATAGTTAGATGGCATCCAGCTGGCATCCCAAATTCGTGTCTTATGCAGTACCTTGACAATGTCAAGCTTTAATCCACCAGTAATAGAGAAGAATATACAAGCCATGAAAATTGCTAGTTTTTTACAGAAGCTAGTGGCAAATTAACCCAAGATCGAAGAAATTCTCGATGGCTCCCCGGCTTAAACTTTGCACAGATCAACCTACTTCTTTGGTCTTTTTCTTGTTTCTGGTTGAGTTTCACTGAGATAGAGGTATTGAATGAAGAGGAATACATGAACTCTATCCTAAGCATCGTGTATTGCTACAGCCTCCATCAACACATCTTAAGCTTCCTTGCATTCTGCAGTGATTTTGACACACATGTACACTATTGCTTGTTCCCATATATTCTTCTCAGTACGTATTCCCGAAATGACGTCAGAAGACAACTCATCCTATTCTCCGCTATTCCTTGGTCATGAACATGGAAAAGGGCAATTTTACAAATTTTGAAATTTCGTAGAAAATTAATGAAAATAGCTACAACCATAATTTCTTTGCAGTGGTGATCAAGAGAAAAAAGAGATTCGTATTAGTGAGAAACAATTTTGGGGGTTATAGTGGCACTTTAAGGAATGCATTTAGTTAGTACGTCAATGATGAACACTCAAAAGAACAACAGAACACAGTGGAATTAACAGTAAAGGAAGAAAAAGAAGCAAGGACTTAAGTGTCACTCTGTCTAGTGTTAGTGTTGACCATTTGCTTGAAAGAAAATCTTTTATAAATGCACTTGGCCACGGATGATCTGTTTGGAAGTGTTATGTCTTTGCTACAAATATTACAGACAGTTTTCTATGTTGCTGAAGATGAATGATAAGTTAACTTAGTCACCAAAAGATAAAAAAAAACCTGTGTGGATTTTATGAGCATCCTGTCGCCATGTCCAAATTGTTGAGCAAAACTGTCTTTTCTCAATGTACTCTAGCTATTTATTCCCTACTCAGACATTAATTTTTTACCGTGGCTCTAGCTGTCACCGTGAGTGAATAAAGGAACCAATGAGCTGATTCTTTTCCTTTTAATCACCATATTGTCCTTGAAATCTTCAAAATCATAGCTGTCATCAACTTCATTGATCTAATTGTTGTCATTGTCCCTCATTGTTCCTGTATCATTCATTGTCAGTCATGTCATTGTTATAGTTACCGTCATTATAACTGTCGTCATCACTTATTGTCATTGTCATGTTTATTTTTATTGTCAAGCACTTTCATTAACATTGCTATTTTAATTAATTTTCAGCATCAACACTGTCAGTGTTGCCATCATTGTCATGGTCATGGTAAAAAAGAAAGAAAAAAACCCAGTGCATTTTAGATGTCTGGTGGAAAAATTTATGCCATGCACAAGAGAGTAATTCCTATTGATCAGTGTACCATATTTTTAAGATACATCAGCACTCAAGGGTTTAATAAGTGACTGTAAAACAGTACATACTGCGAATGTATCTGTCTCAAGGAATTCGTCCTATGTAAAGAAGTGCATCTGTTTTTGTTTCTTGATCTACAGTGGACGTTGATGTTGATGATGAGGGGTTTGACTTGATTCAGCCATCTCTCATTCAGCAGTTGAGGAAAATCTTAGATGAGTACCCGGATGATGGTCAGATATTAAAGGTAGGCCACTTCAACTGCAGTCCTTCTCTTTATTTTTATTTGTTTTAATTATTAGGCTGGTAATGGATGTTTGTGGACATAGGATCGTGAGAAAAATCAAAAGCCTATTCAAACTGAATAAGACCCAAAACCTGAAACGTGCACATACACGGAGTGAACTAATGTGTAGTATGTTAGAAGCAGCTTGCCATTGACAGCTTTACTCGGTGTCTGATTTGTTGTCTTCAAAGAGGTTTAAGAGCCAATTATGCCTTTCCTATGGAGAAGTTGTTTCTCTAAATGCATTGGAAGTTGTTCTCTCTTTTGTAAAATTATTAATAGTTCTTACAGTTTATGCCTGTTCCGCACAAGAAAGCCATTTTCGTTCAAAGTCTCTGACTGCTATATGGCTATTGTTATAATATATATTATTTAAACTTTAGTTGCATAACCACTTTTAGGGTGCCTATGAAGTAAAAGATAATTGCTGCTTATTTGAAAGGCTTTTCAAAGTAAAGAAGAATGGCATTTTCCTTTTTGGAATATCTTTTTTTCGTTTTAGAGATATTTACGTTTTTGTAAGGAAAGTGATGACGTCATAGGTGGTTCCACTAAAACAGCACAACACTCAATCGAGAATAACTCTAGAAATTTTAAAGCAGTGTTCTTTAAACTAGTCATGCTGCTGGTTCTGTTTTAATTAAGACTAAAATTCTCAGATTTTATCTTAAACAAGGATAATCCACTCCCACCAATCTAATGGGGAGAGTTAAGACAATATGGGAACCATGTGTGTTCCGAGCAAGACCCTCTGTCCCACTTTAAAAGGTTGCAAATGGGGATATTTGGTTTTTCACAGAAAGAGCCTGGAGCCAAGAGTGTTGCCATGGCAACAACATAGTGGGTGTTATTCTGTTTCTTTTGTGATGTACATTTCTGGTGCCAAGTTTGAAGAACACTGCTTTAATATTTCTAGAGTTATTCTTGATTGAGTGTTGTGCTGTTATAGAGGCATCACCTATGACGTCATCACTTTCCTCGTTTGCATAATACAAAAACGTGAATATCGCTAAAACGAAAAAAGATATTCCAAAAAGGAAAACGCCATTCTTCTTTACTTTAAAAAGCCTTTCAAATAAACAGGAATTATTTTTTACTTCATAGGCACTTTAAAGTGTTTGTTTTAGTTGAAAGTATTTTGTTCAGAGGATTCAGGAACATTATTCAGCGGCAACATCATATAATTTGAGAAAGACAAACAGAAATATGCCATTGTGTGCCGGTGTTCCTCAACATATGTTGCTCAACAAATGGTGCACTTTGTTGAACCACGTGTGAGTTGAACGATGTTAAAGCAACTTGTTGAACGGAATAGAGCTCGTGTCTGTTTTCGTTCAACAATGTTCTTAAACAACGTTCAGCTGTCGTTGAATGGCCTATTTCATTACATTCAACATGGCATATGGCATATGGCATGATACACTGTTCAATATTTTGTTGATCACGAGCTGCAACATTAATTTTGTTGATCAACAAACTATTTAAGAGTTCCTGTCCATAAAAATGGAAAATAACTCGGCAAGGATCGAAAATTCGATTTTGCTCATATTCCTATGGTAGATAGGCTAGGGCATGACAAAAACTACTGGATAGTTTTTTTGGCAAAATATCCTTTTATTTCAAAGAAATATGCAAATT